TGATGTTCCCTAGTTGGGTCATGAAACATCTGCAAGAAAACCACCCAGCTCAGAGAGCACCAAGGACCCCACAGTCCTCCTCCTCCTCCTCCTCCTCCTCCTCTCCACAAACCCATTGCCCTTGTAGCACTGATGATGTTCCCTAGCTGGGTCCTTCCTTCCTTCCTTCCTTCCTTCCTTCCTTCCTTCCTTCCTTCCTTCCTTCCTTCCTTCCTTCTTTCTTCCCTCTTTCTCCCGCCTTCCTTCCTTCCTTCCTTCCTTCCTTCCTTCCTTCCTTCTTCCCTCCCTCTTTCTCCCGCCTGCCTGCCTTCCTTCCTTCCCTCCCTCCTTCCTTCTTTCCTTCCCTTCTCCTTCCTTCCTTCCTTCCTTCCTTCCTTCCTTCCTCCTTTCCTCTTTCCTCCCTTGCTCTTTCCCTCCTTCCCTCCCTTCCTCTTCCCTTTCCTTCCTCCCTCCCTTCCTCTTTCCTTCCCTTCCTCTCTCTCTGCCACCTCCTTCTTACCTTCGCTCTCCTTCCCTTCCTCCCTTTCTCTTCCCTTCCTTCTCTTCCCTCCCTCCCTCCCTCCCTTTCACCCTCCCTCCCTCCCTCCCTCCCTCATTTTGCCAAACCTGACCTGTTAAATGAAAGCAGTCTACTTTTATATTAAGATCCGTGTTGCTAGACCTGAGGGGCTTCTATACATGCTGTTCCAAAAATCCAACTTTTTCAAGATATGAAGCAATGTCTCTCTCAGGAGAAAAGTCAAGCTTGGAAGTGTTGGAGTGGTGGTTTTTTTGGTTTTAGTTTTGTTTTTTGAGGTGTGCAAGCTGCTCTGGCTTTTTTAGAATAAGTTTAGAATACAGTATTAATTGCTGCTTGTAGTGTTTCTCACCCTTTGCTTAAGGGCCTGAAGAGCTGGGGCCAGCATGGGGAATTCTGGGAGTTGAAGTCCACACCTCTTAAAATGGCTGATGTTGAGAAACACCAATTTAGCTCTTTCTGAGTTAGCATTATTTTATATTATGTCAGGGGTCTTCAAACTTGGCCCTCTTATGACTTGTGGACTTCAACTCCCAGAATTCCTCAGCCAGGCACGCTGGCTGAGGAATTCTGGGAGTTGAAGTCCACGCTTCTTAAAATGGCCGATGTTGAGAAACACGGGTCTGGATGCTTTAAAGGAGCAATAATATCAAACTTGTTTGCACTTCATAAACTCGTAGAACCGGACAGAGCCACATAAACTGGTCCAGCTCCTTGACCAAATCAGAT